CAATTTTTAAATCTCGAAGGCCATTTCAACTCAGAATTCAAGGTCAGAATTATTTCAGAAACTTACCCAGAAAAACGCGTTTGGATTTTAAAACGATCAGAATTATTTCAGAAACTTACCCGGACAAAATGTGTTTGAAATTTAAAACGGTCAGAATTTTTTCAGAAACTTATGCGGAGAAAACGCGTTTGAAATTTAAAACTCGTTTTTCTCAAACTTGTTTGATTTCTGACAGAAACTTATGAAGAACATTTTGCTTAAAACCTTAAAAGAAATAATGGTGCAAATTGTTTAGCCAAAATTGGGCACAAAATTTGCCCCAAAAAACTTTGTTTTTGGCTTCGTTTAGTCAATCAATAATAACTTCAAATCTACTACTTCTTTTTTTGACAAAACGACATAAGTGTAAGCTTCTCATCTAGCCCAACAACATATTAAAAAGAGTATAATTTTCGCAGCTTTGTATAAACATAATCCTTTTTGCTTGATAGCCAAGTGTTTAATGTCATAATTACTTTATAAAAACTAATTTTTTCAAATAAAAACATTATTTAAACCTTTTGCGCGCCCACTTTAGGAGATTACCCCCATCCTAAATTTTGCTGCACTTTATAAGAGATTTGCAGTGATATAGTTTTTTTAATGAAAGAACTATTATGTTTAGAACAGTTTTTGATTGACTAAAACAAGCCTAAAATGATTGTGCAAGATTGGTGTTCATCATTTTTGTCTAAAATCAACATAATTTGAGAAAATCGCGTAATAAAGTTCAATTTTTATTCTCTTTGTCCGGATAATTTAAACCAGCAATGTAGGTGTATTCTTGATTTTTGCATATTTTTATGATTAGTTCAGGATTAGAATCAAATTGATCATACCGGTTCAGACATGTAGAAAATTGGTAAAAGGTTTATTGCCAGCTAAATGTCTCAAGGACAGGTTGATAGTTAAAAACAAAAACAATTGACTGCAACACTGACCTTAAACAAGTTCAACAATTAAAAACTAACGGATCTTTTCAGGTTATTAGATACTTGACATAATTTTTTACCTGCTGAAATGAGTTCAAAATCTGTTCCAGACGCCAAAACGAGCCATTTAAGGTGAATTAAATTCATGCGAATTCGTTAAAAGGAGCATTTTTTGAACAAATTAAAACAAGCGTTACGAGAGCAAACTGTGGACTGGATTGGCGCACAGCTTTTAGGCTGGATGTTCCTGGAATCCAGAGACAAATCTTTGAACATGTTCCAAATTGTAAAAGGAATCCGTTTATAAAAATTCCGTGGAATCTGCCTACCAATACCTGTAACGTAAATTTTGTCGGCACAGTAGTTTTGTTGCGGATTCCGCAACGAGTGACTATAGGTAGTTATTCTAGATTCCGCAAATGTAAGCGGATTCCGCAAATGTAAGTGGATTCCGCAAATATATGCGGATTACGCTTACAATTTGAGGATTCCGCTTACGAATTGCGGAATCTACTAACAATATCAGGATTGCGCTTACAACTGGCGGATTCCACTTACAGTTGCGGATTCCACGCCAGCTTAAGTTTTCTGAACACATATATTATTATGTGCTTATGTATTCAACAAATTGTTCCGGTTTTGCAATCTTTGTTGCGGATTCCACCAAAATTTGTTGCGGATTCTGCAAAGTTGCCTGTGTTGGAGCGACTTTGAGCAATACAGTCTTTTAGGTATTTGTCCGTGGAATCCAAAACAGCAGAAGAATACAAAAAGGCAAAAATGCGGATTCCGCAACAATTCTGTTTTTGGCCTGTTGCGGAATCCGCTTACAATTCAAAAAATGCACAGTTTTGCCTCGTTTGGCGAGGTAAGTATCAGAAATATGCGACAGCGTCCAATAAAAATGTTACATATTATTACATTAGCATAGAAAAAAATATAGTCTTATTATTGAAAAGAGATTGAACCGGCATAACTTTTTTTTGATAATTTCAATCATTTCAAATGAGCGAAGTTAATAAAACTTAAACTGACCATTTTGACGTTTTAAAACCATTTTTCTCCTGTTTTCAAAATCTTATCAGCCATTATCAAAAATTATCAAAACATAACTACCCTAAAGCAACCATTTATGATTGATTAAGTGTCGAAGGTCACCAATTTGGCCAATAAATTACTTGGAAGATTGTTGTTGATTGACTGTTGTGGGATAAGAGTTTTTAAAAGTGAACGCATATAAAAAACACCCGTCTGGCAATGCTTTCTTGAATTAAAGTTAATCTAGTTAAACTGTTATAAATTACAGTTTCATATAGACAAAACTAACAAAATCAAAAACATGAGGACAAAAACGGCTTTGAAATTTAAAGAAAGAAAATAACGCCTACTTTTGTAACATTCTGAACCAATGTTTTATATCTGAAATGAATTTTGTTTTTTTTTAGTCAAACAAGAATCATTTTGAAACAAATTCTTAAATTAAAATTGCGGGCAATTAATAAAGACCAACTTTTATTTAATGCCGCAAGTTAAGCAAACAAAATTTGCCCAAGCGCGGCGTCATTTTGCCGACAACCAACTAAATAAGCAACGGTCAAATTATCTTTGTGTTTTGCGCGGAAACAAAACAAGATTGTTCGCATCAAGGAGAAGCCCTGAATACTCCGTCAGCCTTTTAAGGTCTATGTAGAGTTCGCTTTAAAAAGTGATGAAGTTTCAAAAAATTGAAACATTTTGATTTAGATTTTTTTTGAAAATTATCTCACACCCTATGTAAACTACAAAGAGAACTAATTAGCCTGTAGCAAGTTATAAATAGCCCGACTAGCTTGCCTCATTTGAGTTTTAAACGAGTTCTAAGACTAGTTTGAGTTTTCGCCTACGCGTTTTTAGCACGGAATATATGGGCCATTTCTAAAACATCAAATTTCACAAAACATGATCATAAGTAAAAAAATTGTTATAACTTTGAGCTCAAAACAGCTATACTTTTTGAATGATATAAAAAAATATTCTGTGAAAATGGCTAGTGAAAAAGTCAAAGAATGTCTGGAGAAAAAAACACGCCGAGCAGAAATATTCCATCATTTTCTTCGAAATTTGGAACAATATTTTAGTGCAACTGCCAACAAATGGAATTCAAAATTTCCAAATATCATGAGTTTTAAACACGGTAGTCACATTTTTAGATTCGGCTCTATTGTACTTCATCACTGTTGAACGCTCCCACACTTAAAATCTATCCTCAGAATGCAATTCACATTTTCAGTCCTGCAAGGTTGAACAAAAATTAATGGAAATAAACATTTGTCAACATGTATCAAGATGTCAATACACTTTTCAATACTAACTAACGTTTTCCCGGGCTCACCAAAACTTCTTCGCATACCTTTTCCATATTTGAAAAACTTCTTACCATACAATTCCAAACGTACATAAAAATGAATAAAATATCTATGATAACCATTTTTCCATATATGAAAATTATATGACAAGTATTTTTTCATAAACCAAAAAGTTGAATTTTTTCTAAATGTAATTTTAGGAAAATTTTGGGTTTGTTCGTAACCGAACGCAAGTGACAAAGACCTTGGTTATTCAAAGCACCAAAGATTGGACGGTCTTGCATTTACAATGCATAGAAAACGACCTGAATTGTCTTAGAGTTGTCTTGCACAAGTGATATAACGAAAGTAACAAATTTTAAATCTTTGACAAAAATATTCAATCATGAAAAATTTTAAAATTTGAAATTTCAATTAATCAGACATGATCAAGGCATACATAAACATGCCTTTCAAAAGAAATAGGAGTTTTGAGGGTTTTTGAAAAAAGTTATCTTGTGAGTTTTTTTCGAAAATGTTTGTTTGAGTACAAAGTTCGTTTTGCGGATGAAAAAAAGTTTGGGGGCAATTTCGAAACTACTTTCATCATCAGGCTGGGTTTTAGGGCTTTCTCGAGGAGAAATGGGCGGAATTTACTCAAAAAATTTTGAAATTTTGTCGACATTTTTGTTTTTTAAGTTGAGCAAATTGATTTTCTGAGCTCTCCCTATTTTTATGAAGACCTCATTTTGACCAACTTTTTTTGTGTTTTGTGTCAGAGGCAAATTTTCCAGTAGAAAACAGGCAAAAACAGACGTTTTCAGGCACTTTTTGGAAATTTTTGACCAAAAAATTGCGTTTTTTGGCGCCCTTCCTCCTCAAAATTGGAATATAATGGCGCAGAAGGCGCCTTTCGAAAAAATTTAAAGTCAGTGAGCCAAAAAATGATATCTCAAAATAATACAAAGGGGGTCCTTTGGGTCGGCAGTGGATCGAATCCCTGAGAGGGAAGCGTGCTACCCTCCTTTAAATTCGCTACTGCTTGATGTATGTCTCAATAGTATGATAAACGTTTTTTGGAATTGTATGGTTAGCAATTATACAAGTGTTTGTAGGTCAACCTGGTTTGATTAAGTTTACGTTTTGAGCAGACTTTTTCTGATGTGATTATTCAGTTCTAACCGAAGATTTGACCACGTTTTTACTTTCAGGTGATTGACACAAAAAAAAATTAATAGTCTTACCATCTTGATACATGTTTAGTTGCGTTGACAGATAAATTGTTTTTCTTTGTTTTAACAGATTCAAGCTTGCTTGATTAAAAAATATTCTTTCTTATTTGAAGCACCTCAGAGAAAGCACATTAAAGAAAGTTGCATCAAAAATTAAGTTCCTATGAAACCCTTGGCGCGACTGCAAAATTTTGGTTGCGCGACCGTATTGAGTCCAAGTCGCGACTGAAGTTGAGACTTTTCGCGCCTTTGCTCGAATGTCGCAACTCAAGTCGCGACTTTACACGACTCAAAAACTCACGTGAGAGGTCGAAAATTTGCGCCTCGAAGTCATCTCGAATACCAGAATATATGTACAAAAAAAGCGAAAACTGATGAAATTTACTCATCTTTTTAAAGCCTTTTTTTGCAAAAATAAATGGCAAAATAATGGGCAAAAATAGAATTTTGCAACTATCTTTTTCTAGCTATTTACGTTTGCGATTAGCAACGATATTGATTCTGCGAAAAAAAATATATCGGACAAATAACTATAAATGGAGTCAAAAAACAGCGACACTGAGGGCGCTCCTTTGATTCCAACAACTCCTGGCAACGAGTTTCCCTCCCAACTCCGAAGAGCAATTGCGGTTGTACTAGTTGCAGCTCTGTCGTTCGTGGAAGGTGTCAGCATGTCCTTACCCGGACCATTCTTCCCGCCAAGGGCCACAGATCACGGTAAGAAATTATGTTTTCTGAAGCGATTAATTTGTAATTTAAACTTTTGTATTCATTTCATTCAAAACGCATAAAAAACACATGTACTGCAGTCATGGGACAAAAAATTTGCAACTTTTTTGATTTCAACGAGCAAATGAACATTTTTTTACAACGTTTCTGTCATTTTATCTGCAACTATTCAAGATATAGGGTTGAATATTTCACACGTTTGAGATTTAACTAATTAAAGGGAGCTAGACGGATGAAAAATTGAAAGACATTGTTATGAAGGCGTGAGTTAGCCAGGTATTTCATGGGATGAATTCCTCTGAGCAGAAAAGTACTCAACGAAAGTGAAGCACTCTAACTAGAAAGATCCATAAGACAAACAATTCCAGAAGCAGAACCATGAGAATGAGATAGAGCGATAATAAGCTGAATAAACTTAAATCCTCGTTTGAGTGTTTGCAATTAATACTAAGTTTGAAAAGCATTTCATGATGTTTGGCAATTTGGTTGTTTCGCAACGTTTAGTAGTTACGGTAAACTTGGATTTTTATTTGAAATTTTGAAATGAACATTGTGTTACCATTTCAAACACTTTGCTGTTTTGAGCTGAGCTTTACAAGGCAGAAGTGGGGATAAAAATATTTCATTTGAATTCAATTTTTGGATCACTCTTAGCAGGGGCGGATCTAGGATTTTCTCGAGGGGTGGCGGATTTTCAAAAAGAAATCGAAAATTTTGACGACCTTTTTTTTTTAGGTCGACCAAATTGATTTTTGAGCTCTCCCAAAGCACTGTTTTGCCCCTATTTTGGCAATATTTTCTGCGCTGCAGGCATATTTTTGAAAAAACAGTCAAAAAAGGCGTTTTTAGGCACTTTTTTGGAAAATTTTGACCAAAAAATTGCGTTTTTTCGGCGCGCGCTCCCCCCCCCCCTCAAAATTATAAAATATTGGCGCCAAAGGCGTCTTTAGAAAAATTTTAGGGTCGGTCGGCCCAAAGTGGGTTTCTTAAAAAAAGTACCAAAGGGGGGACCCTTTGGGTCGGTAGGGTGTCGAATCCCTGAGGGAGGTGGCATCCGCCCCCCAAGCCCCCCCGGGGTGGGTTTTTTTTCTTCATGTAAACGTGTGGAATTCACAATATCTCTAGGCCGACCTCTCACTCTGTTCCGCGTCGCCGCAATATGTTTCCCTTTAGCACTGGGTCGGTGGGGCAACCAAATCCCAGTACTGTTTACAATCCCAAAAGGGTTGATTTGGTGGATAGCCGTTCTGTATCGTATTATGCTGCTCGCCCCTTGTTTGTGCTCTTTCGACTGTATCTCGCTCGCAATCAGTAGTCAATCGCAACAACAATTCCAATAATAATAATGAATTAAGAAATAATCAATCCAAATACAGAATAGCCTATAAGTGGCTGGAACATAAATTAATCATTCAACCAAAGGAATGGGTCCGCGATTACTATTATTCAACCAACTGCCTCCTGCAGTTCAATTAACGCCTAACTAATATCTAATGTTCTCCTCGAGAACTTCTATCAATTATCAATCGTTCGACAACGATTCCGCTATCCTCTAGATAGCCTAACTTACTTCACTAACTAATCTACTTTAACTTTTCAACGAGTAACTTAACTCGTTCTCAATAACTCTGAGATACGACTCGTTAACAATTAACTCCCAATCGTTCTGACGCCTAAAGGCCGTTCCGCAACATCCGTGCCTTATGTCTATTTACTCTTAGTTTTAGTTAGAGATCCGTCATTCCGTATAAGTCTTAACATTTACCTATATGCCTCCTACGCAGCGTTCCAGTTCATAAATCCCGCATGATCACATTAATTTAAATGCCAAGTTCAAAATGCCAATCAAAGCTATGCTAAACAAATAACAAGTGCAACTTCAACTTAATTCAAGCTATGTTTACATATCCAAATACCCAAGGACTTTATTTAATTATCCCGCATCTTTTCCTTTCTCCCATGACTAGGATAAATTCCCAATGAACTTAATTTCCTAATTATCGCAATCCAAAAATTCCAATACATAACCCATTCAAATTTCAATCTAATCGACCTTCAGGGTAAGCCGTTCCCTCAACTGGGGTCCAATTGAGCCAATAAAACATTCCCCAGAAGCCAATGGAATATCCAGTACATTTCTAATATTTATGTTAATTAATTCCCTATTCCCTCTGTCATATTGCCAAATTAATATGTGACTACTTTTCTGTGCCATTGACGCATTTCTATTAATAGTTCATTCGCCAAGTCAAAATTTAACCCAATGTTTATTTAACTAACTCGTATTAAATCCAACAATATACCACTATACATTAAGCCAAGATATTCCATCGAATTCCAGGAAATGCCTAACTAATTTCCTATGCACGCAAATTGTCACCCAATATCAATAACATATCTCTATTAACTCCCCTGATTACGAGACATATGATTTGGGCTACTTTCCGGTGCTAATTTTAGGGGTTTCGGGGCTAAAATTCCAAAAGGTCAAGTAAAGGTCAACCCGGGGTCACCCGGGGTCAAGTCTCCCATAATCGGTTCGAGGTCACATGGGGTCGTACCTACCAAGTTTCATCCATATCCGACAAATACTTCTCAAGTTATCCCACTTTTAAGGTTCATTATCACTTTTCCCGGGAAAAGTCAATTAGCACCAGAAAGGTCAACCGGGAGCTGAGACCTATAGGGGTCCTTTTTACCGGGGTGGGTTATACTACACATATAAGCCATAAAATCGATATGCCCTCGCGCATTATTTTTCGCAAATAGCCCATTAACACCTAAAAGGGGTGATATTCCCAAGTGCTAATAGCCCGTGCCATTGTCACCCAGTAGGGTCATCATCCTAATATACGATAGACCATGTCACTATCTACCATCCCTCCAAGTTTCAGCTCCCTAGGGTCATTGGGGGTCGAGGAGTAGCCTCCGGGAGTCGTGGGGGGGTTTGTTTGTTTAAGGCATAAATCGGGCCGGGGTGACCTTGAGGTTCCGAAACTTCAAACTTAAGCTTCCCTCATCCAGAGCTACCACATATATAAAAATGAGCTCAATCGGACCAGTAGTTAAGGATTTCCGGTGGGGCCATTTGCACTTCCGGGAACCGTTATCACCCGGCCCCAGGGGGTCAAGCGGGTCCGGCGCTTTGCATGCCCGGGTCAAATCATCTCTAGTATCACTCCATTAAATTTCATAACGTTCGCCCTTATAGTTCCCGAGTTGGGGGGGGGGGGGGGGGGTTGGCGGGAGCTATTGCATTCACTTTTTTCACTAAAGAGGGGGATTAATCCCACGAACTTAATTAAACACGAGTTTAATTCAATCTTAACTTAACCACTCTATTATTTACCGATCTTTACCAGACGCTATCAACGAATCAGCTCTACTACTACTTAGTTTGCATGTTCAAGGTTCAAAGAAAAAGCCATGTACGTTATACAGTAGGATTACCGATTCTACACTTCAGACAAATTTCGACTTTTTAACTAGCCATTTTTGACGGATATCATTCGAAAGCTATTGTTGTCCTGAGCTTAAATGTGATAAGATATTTCACCTGTGACCCTTTTTCGTAAAGTTATGGGGGTTTAAAGATTGCCGTTTTGGCCAATTTTGGACAATTAACGCGCGATATATTTCGCGCTATTAACGCGTAAGCGAAGAGTTAATCTGTCTTAGAAATGGTTCCAAATTGGTTGAAAGAAGCTTGTTTGCCATAATTGATTTGTTACAAGGAGCAAAATCTGTCCTGTTGTAACTTATATGGCGTGTGGGGGGATGATTTTTATAATAAACTTCAAATTTTAGAAAAAAAAATTCATTTCTTTTTATTATATATATATTTTTTTGTTATTACTGCTCGATAAACCTCAAAAGGCAGTCAACATTCAGGGCTTGGCCCTGATACGAGCAGTCTTGTTGCAGTTGAAAACATAAGGCAACTAAATTTTAAAAAATGCAAATTACTGCAAGGGTTGTTTTTTCAAACGCATAATTTCCAAATTGCAGAAAGTTTTCATTGTATTGATTTTTTGTTCAGTTTTCAGACACTTTTAATGTTTCATTGAACTTAAAACGCTTTTGCTTTCATGTTTCGGAACACTATAGTCTGCTTATTTCTCAAACATTTTGGCCGTTCTAAACAGTTGTGGAGGGATCCACCTTTGAACATAATTAAAAAGCTATGTTTATTTAGGAATCTCTCAAACGCAGATTGGAATTGTTTCCGGATCCTGTGACGTCGCAAACCTATGCTTTTCCTTTATCATTGGAAGCCTTATATCACCTTCGAACAAAAAGGCTGTGTTTCTTACCGGCACTTTTATTTCCTCTGCAGCCTTAGTGCTGTTTGGACTCCTGGACTATGTTATAGGTATCAATTAAATTTCAGAATCCTACAGTACTCAAAAAAGTTTCACTAATCAGGGGCTGATCTAGGATTTTTTCGAGGGGGGGGAGGGGCGGATTTTCAAAAAGTTTTGGAAAATTTTGTCGACCTTTTTTTTAGGTCGAACAAACTGATTTTTCGAGCTCTCCCTAAGCACAGTTTAGTCCCTGTCCCTGTTTTGGCCAAATTTTCAGCACCGCAGATAAAATTTTGAAAAGTTCGAAAAAACAGTCCAAAAAAGGCGTTTTTAGGCACTTTTAGGAAAATTTTGACCAAAAAGTTGCGTTTTTTCGGCGCCCTTCCTCCTCAAAATTGGAATATATTGGCGCCCAAGGCGCCCTTAGAAAATTTTTAGGGTCGGTCGCCCAAAAATGGATTTCTTAAGAAGTACCAAAGGGGGGGCCCTCTGGGTCGGCAGGGGGTCGAATCCCTGAGGAATGGTGGACGCCCCCCCCATAAATCCGCCCCTGTCACTATTTATAGTAAAAGTTGCTCAATATGTTCAGACCACGTAGGCAAATTTAAAAAAAACAGGACAAAAAAAAACGCTTTTTTTAAAAACTTTTTTGGAAAATTTTGGCCAACAAAATTGATGTTTTTTGGTGCGTGCTCGCTCTCAAAGTTAAATAAGTTGGCGTCAAACGCGATCTTAGAAACATTTATGGTCACTCGGTCGGCCGAAAGTGAATGCCAACGATTAATATCAATGGGGGATCCTTGGGGTGGTGAGGGGTCGAGCTCCTGAGGGGGACTGGGCGCCCCTTTAAATCCTTCCCTGAATGCGATCATTTCTCAAAAAAGAACGGTTAAAAAAATTGTCAATTTTGCAAATTTTTGGATAATCAGGGACGAATTCAGGGCGGGTTTTTGGGTTGGAATAACCAGATACAAGAACTAATTCATCTCCAAATCGATATATCCTATGCCCAATGATTGAGGGTGGGGCTACATTTATCTGCCCAGAAAAAAACCAAAAAGCTGGTTGCATGTTTTAATCAACGCAACAATAGCGGATCTTCACAAGAGTTGACAACCGCGGTTAATTCGACAACTTTGTTGAAAATATCTGTGACAGTAGTATGAAAGTTCCGCAGAAGACCTCTAGTAACATCCCACATTTTTACATTTTGAAATATCTTCTAAAATTTTGGGGTATTGGCTTGTTCACATGTAAAATGACGTTATATACCTATTATATCCAACCAATTGAACCTAATGCAAACAAACTATGTGGTATATAGGAAAGCACAAGATTTTGGCAGTGTAGCTTAACTGTTGGCTGCGGTGAACGAATTCCTTCAAAATGCATGTTTTATTGCTGAATCGCGAAGAAAGAAAAATTCGTCAAGTGCGGCGGCCGCCAGCCCTTTTTAGGCAAAAATTAATGATCAATTTTAAACGAAACGAGAATAAAAACTAACTTTAAGCCAAACGAAGGCTAAAAAAAACGAAAAACTATGAAACACTGAAAACTCTAAATTAACGGAATTTGCCTGAAAATTACGACGTTTCCCCATTTTCCGTGTCTTGTCTACGGGAGACTGAAAAAACGTCTAAAATCTACGACAAAAGCTTCGATATCATAGAAAAGTTTGAATGAGCTAAAAAATTGAAGTTGCAAAAAAGCTTGAAAAGCGACAAAGCCAAAAGTGCTCATTAAATTTGCTACAGCTATTTCTAAGACTTGCGTATTTCGGGAAACAATTTTCGAGGCTTCTAAAAAACGTTTAGTACGGCTTATAAACTTTTTTGTGCAAACAGAACTATTGAAATAATTCATCAAAGCGGACCTATAAACAGAGGTATACACTAAAACAGAGTGACTATGAAAAAAGCAGTTGAAAACTTATTTGCGAGTTTTAAGGAAAGCAGTTAATTAAATTAGAGCAAACTCAATCGAGAAATCTGGAACACAAACTGCGGCAAGTTATGATTACAATTTCAAAACATGATATAAATTGGGGATTATACTTTGAGCATCCAAATTTTTTGGTTTTTCTATTTAAAAAAATACGCAATAAAAAAACTGTTTGATTCTTTCTCAGTATCTTGTAGTTAATGTCAAATTGGGTTTAGCTAGAGCGTTCTACTCGAAATTTTGGAGTGCTATCAGTTATTATCATAGATTAACCCTTGGATCGACAATTTAAACTTTGAACTTTTTTTAAATAAAAACATGTCTTTTGACTGTTTCCCTGATCACGCTATTGCCTCTCTATATACGGTGGCTTTTTGACCCACATATATGAATACTCATCTACAGCTAATTGTGTTATTAAGAGTTCGACCTTTCTTTCAATATATGTTTGAGGTGATCCAAGCTTTTGTATTCACGCTCGGATCACTAGCAGGATCAAAACAGTTAGCTTCATGCTATGTCCTCTCATTTTTGTATCAATATTTTTGTTCTCTATTAAAAAGACTTGTTTTCGAAAAATTGTTGGTTGTTTGAACATGTAAGATAAAAAAAACAAGCCTGATCATCAACATTTTACCTTACTCATCGGATTTCATCAGGATGAGAGCTGTTTCACCTTTACCAACGCTCTCACATCAATTTTGGCTACACTAGTTTCCGAATTGATAAAAGTGCCATTTTGTAGTTTCAATGCAATTCGATAAACGTCAATTACGTTCTGTTATTTTAAGCTGGAACGACTAATAAAGACATGTTTAACTTGCAAGTATAAAATTTGTTTTGATATCTTGTACTAATCATGTTTGAAAATTTTCTGAAGGAATTAAAGTTTTGAGTCTAGATGCAGAAAGACTCACTGTTTTTTTCAAAGACAAAAGGCGTAAGCATTTTTAGCATCATCATACCAAACTTTATCAACTAAATAAAAATTGAATTTAAAAAAGTGTCTACTGACTGTTTATCTGATTGTACAATTGTTTCACTTCTCTCTGTTTAAAAATTTGATTCAATAATATGATTTTTCAAAAAAAAACTTCTGAAAATTTATAATTTTTACAGATTGATCAATCATCCTTCAAAAGTACAATACTTGTCATTTACACTTTGCTCGCTTACCGTCTTCAGCCCTACCAGCAGTCTGTCGTTTTCTACCATTCTTCTATCGATCTCGTTCATCTGCACGGTCCATGATTCTTCTCAATAGACCCTAAATTTTTGATATTTCGGTTATCGTAATCATTATATCTATGAGCAACAGTTCATCAAACACTTTGGACTCCATGCTGCTGCCAATTGGACTTGTTGTTTGCTGCTTCTATCGACAAATTTTTCTAAGACCTTAAAAACTGATCCTTCCTGTTGCGATTTTATTACAATTTTTGTGGTCCAGTTTATCAAATTGTAATAGTTTTTCTTAGGTTACCTGGAAGATAAATTATGTTGATGAAAATTTTAAAAATGTATCATGTCGTTTTGTAAATTAAGAAAACGAAAAAGACTATCATTATAGTATCTTGTTGGATATTCTAGAATAATCTAAAAACTAAGAATACAGATAAAAAAAGATTTGGAATGAGTAACATATATATTTTTATCAAAAATACACTAATTGATTTCATATATAACCAAACAAACACCCACAAAACATATAAAATTACTTACTTGTATACAAGTAAAAACATACATACATTTGCATAAGTTCCAAACTTACATGCATACTTAAAAAAGTATGGTCATATATACTTTCTTAGATACATACATACATAAATACACATATAAAAACTTACATAAGGACATTCAAACAAACTTGCATATTAACACAAATACATACACACATACTAAATACATACATACGTACATATATGCATAAACGAAAACATAGATACACACAAACATACATGCATACATACATGAATACATACAAACATACATACACACATATATACATACATACATACATACATACATACATACATACATACATACATAGACACATACATACATACATACATACATACATACATACATACATACATACATACATACATACATACATACATACATACATACATACATACATACATACATACATACATACATACATACATACATACATACATACATACATACATACATACATACATACATACATACATACATACATACATACATACATACATACATACATATATACATACATACATACATACATACATACATACATACATACAAACATACATACAAACATACATACAAACATACATACATACATTCTATATAAATCCTTACTTAAAGGCATTAAAACAAACATACATACAAAAATACATACCTAAAAAACTACTTCATTTTACACCTTTATACATACTTATACATACATGCAAACATACACATATCAATTCTTACCTGAAGATGATCATTCAAACAAACATACAAAAGTTTATACATACACATTTATTTAAATACATACGTTCATACAAAATTACAAACATGCAAACATACCTACATACATGCATACATATTTACATACACACATACATACACACATACATACATAATTACATACATATATACATGTATACGAACATACATCGATACATACTTAGATACCGACATATATACCTAAGTAGAAGTAGAAAGCAAAAAATGTACCATACATATATAAGTATGTGCATACATACAAACAGAAAAATATGTTTTACATACTTGCTTGGATAATATTAAACCTACAAGCAATTATATGAGATTTTTTTAAATAACACACATGTAAAGTTTTTCCTAATATTTTTACTGAACTATAAAAAACAGTCAAATGATAACACACACAACAACATATAATCAATTCAAACTTTCAAGACGAATATATAAACCCTTAAACAAAAAGAATCATGCATTACAGACTGGCATTATACGTTCATACATACATGCCTTTCCTACTCATATACGAATATGCATGAGGAATTGCCCACAAACGGACATGGATCGTATTTTACAATCACACAACTGCTCCTGTGTACACACTTTCCTTTAAAACAGACATAAAACTTCAATCAAGAATTCAAACAATTTTACAAACGAGCTAGTTTTTAAAAGTTTTTCGACTTAAGAAAAAAAAATTCATACAAAAAAAAATTACTTACACCATTCACTCAGTCATGCGGACATTACATAAAAACATACAAGCAAACAAAAATTTATAAATACTCAAATGAGAACACACGACTAGTATGTACATACATCTTTAATTATATACATACATGCGAAAAAATATAAACTGTGGTAAATATAAACTCTTATAAAATAAAAACTGTGGTAAATAATTTGGTAAAATGACTATTGATCTCCAAATTAATCGTCCAACGGTATCAAACCTCAGCTCAAAATTGACCAGTGAGCCGAAGGAAGGTATTTAAGTGGTCGGAAGAAAAAAACTCTGGCTTACTAAATTGCATAGGATCGGAAACTTCCGGAACAAATTGTTGAAAACTTTTTATTGGACGGTCCGAATAGAGTTGTTTGACATGTCAAAAATCTGCTCTCAACTTATTATTAAGTTCTAGACAGAAACTTTAGAACAGTGAATGTTTTCGTTCGAATTAAAATTCTAAGCCATTATTTTGAAATTTTTGAACTTTGTTTTTTTTTTTAAAGTTTGTTTCTTGACTCATTTGTTGGTTCTGTAGTTTGATATATCTTTAGTCAACTATTAGATTGCAGCTTAACCAAAGACCAAGGTACATTGGCTAGATTTGTAGATTATGTTGCTTTCTCGCTAATTCATCAAAAATTTCAAATTTTTTTGTTTGATAGCTTTTTTCAAAACTATTTAATTTTTTCAAACAAAAAAAACTGAAAATTTGTAAAAGAATCCGACTCTCTGTTGTCACTCTAGCAACACGTTGGTTTTACTGCTGTTGTCATCCTCAACTATGTTCAAAATTCATCTCTTAAACAATGCTAGAACTTATATACATGCTCTTCCATAGCAGGCTTTAACTTTTTCGGTTTTCTTTCAGTTTTGTTGATATTTGATAAATCAGATGATTGCACGCTTCGTCCAAAGTGTACACGTTAAACTGCTGTTATTCACTTCAATGCAATCATTTTTCGTGAATTTTTGGCCAAATAAAATCTCAATAAAACTTGTACACATTCATCCATCTACACGATTGTTATTTTTCAAAATCACTTGTTAAACCGTAAATTTTTCTGTTCCAATCTTCTAGTCTTATTCGGTAAAACAGTGTTTTTTATTGTTGAGATGAGAGTTGAGCCATACCGGCTACAACAGCCAGAGAAATTTGAGAAGCGTAGCGACAAGCAACGCATCTGGCTGGTGTAGTCGGTATGGCTTAACTCTCATCCCAACAATGAAAAACACTGTTTTACCAAATCAGGCTAGGACAAGATTGGAATAGAAAAATTTACGGTTAATCAAGTAATTTTGAAAAATATCAATTGGATAGATGGATAAATGTGTACAACTTTATTGAGATTTTATTGGCCAAAAATTCACAAACAGTGATTGCATTTAAGCGAATAACAGCAGCTTAACGTGTACACTTTGGACGAAGCGTGCAATTATCTGATTTTTTAAAAATCAACATAACTGAAAGAAAACTGAAAATGTTTACAAAAATGAGAGGACATAGCATGAAAAATAACTGTTTTGATCCTGCTAGTGATCAAAGCGTGAATACAAAAGCTTGGATCACCTCAAACATACATTGTATATATAACATAGGTCAAACTCTTAAAAACACAATTAGTTGTAGATGATTAATCATATATTTGGGTCAAAAAGCCACCGTATATAGAGAGGCAAAAGCGTGATAGTGGAAACAGTCAAAAGATCGTGTTTATATAAAAAAACCTCAAAGTTTAATTTGTTGATCAAATGGTTAATCTATGACAATAACTGATAGCGCTCCAAAATTTTGAAAAGAAAGCTGTAGCTGAACCCAATTCGACATTAACTACAAGATACTGCAAAAATGTGATCAGATTGTACTATCAAATTAAACAGTTATTTAATTGCATATTTTTTAAATGGAAAAAGCAAAAAATTTGGATGCTCAAAGTATAACCCTCAATTCATATCAAGTTTTGACTTTGTATTCATAACCTGTTTCAGTTTGTGTTCCAGCTTTCTCGATTGAGTTTACTCTAAAATGATTAAGTGCTTTCCTTAAAAGCCGCAAATAAGTATTCAACTGCTTTTTTCGATAGTTACTCTGTTTTGTTGTAAATATTCACATATTAACAACAGTTTTCCCTCTGTTTTTAGGTCCACTTTGATAAATTATTTCATAAGTTCTGTTTGCACATAAAAGTTAAAAAGACGAACTAAACATTTTTTAGAAGCCTCAAAATTGTTTCCATTTTATTATAAAAACTGGTATACACAAGTCTTATAAATAGCTGTAGCACAATTAATTAGCACTTTTGGCTTTCTCGAGTTTCAAGCTCTTCAGCAACTTCAATGTTTCAGATCTTTGAAACTTTTCTACGATATCAAAGCTTTTTTAATAAAGTTTTGACGTTTTTTCAGTCTCCTGTACACACGAAAATTGGAAATATCGAAATTTTTAGGAAAATTCCATTATTTTCGAGTTTTCAGTGTTTCATAATTTTTCAGTGTTATTTACCTTCGTTTGGCTTGAAGTAATTTTTTATTCTTCTTTCGTTTAAAATTGATCATTAATTTTTGCCTAAATAGGGCTGGCGGCCACCGCACTTGACGAATTTTCCTTTCTTCGCGATTCAGCAATAAAATAAAATGCATTTTTGAAGGAAATCGTTCACCGCCGCCAACAGTTAAGCTACGCTGCCAAAATTTTGTGCTTTCCTGTATACCACATAATTTGGTTGCATTAGGTTCAATTGGTTGCATATAATAGTTATATAACGTCATTTTACATGTGAACAAGCCAATACCCCCAAATTTTAGAAGATTTTTCAAAATGTCAAAATGTGGGATGTTACTAAGGGTCTCCTGTGGAACTATCATACTACTTGGGACATTGGTAGATTTGGTAGAAATCGCACAATTTCTTTTCTAGCATCATGCAAGTGTTTTGTTGCGCGGAGTTTTTGTTCTTTGTTGCGGGATTTTTTAGAATTATTTTTTCTGTTTAAGGGCTCTTTTCAACGTATTTGTTGGAGAAAAAATAATTAAAATATGGACATAAACCTAAAAAAAAATTAAGGAATTTGAGTAGAATTATCAAGACCCTAGAAACAATGATGACAAAAGTATGTTTGAAAAACTGAAATTAATATGATTTTGTTCCAGACGACAGAATTTATTTCGTTCTTTGCATTCTGACTCGGATTGTGAACGGTGTTGGTGTCTCAATGGTTTATGCAATGATGATTCTCATTCCTAGTACGTGCTTCCCGCAAAAAGCGGCCCTTATGAACTCTTTTATTCAAACTATATTTGGAGTCGGCATGTTTTGTGGACCCGTTTTTGGAAGTATATTAATACCAATCGGAGGTTACGAAACACCTTTTATTTCGTTAGGAATAATGGAAGCCGTTTTATCAGTTCTGGGGATAATAATTATTCCGGCTTTTCCAGCAGACAAGAAAACTGAAAAAAAAATAAAAAATTCCAAACCTATCGGATATTTACATTTGTTAGTTAGATTTTCAACAATCAGTATTTTATTACCAACTGGAGTCGTGTTTCTTTTTTCTGGTTTTCGTGACACAGCTTATGTTCTTCATTATCAGGAAGTTACAGGACTCGCCGCGAACATAGTCGGAATTTTATTCGTGGCCAATTCACTGACAGCTGCTATTACGGGTTTTGTTGTCGGTGTTCTGACTCAAAAAGGATACGCAATTAGTGTCATGATTTTAGCCCATGTTTTGACACCGTTAACTACTTTCGCCATGTTTGTACCATACTTTTTACCCAAAATAGAGACACGAGGTTGGGCCGTTTTGATTCTTGTAATGAACGGAATTTCAGTTGACGCGGCGGTTAATCCTTCATACTTGTTGCTTCAAAAAGCAGCTATCAGGAACGGAGAACGGAATATTGACCAAGTCAGAAAATTTGCATCTTCTAGTTTCATGATTATTTTTTGTTCTGGACGGATCGTGGGAGCTGCAATTGTCGGGGGATACTTGAACGAATTAGTTGGGTTTTATTTCACGTCGCTGATTTACACTATGGTTGCCATAGTAACAGTCACGTGGCATATTGTATTTCTGGTGAAATCAGGATTTATTGGCAAGGTCTACTTCGATACAGAGGAAGATATTGCCGAAGATATTGCGAGTGATAATTAATTATGATACATTAAATTGAAAAAAAATAATAGTAATTTTTAGAAAAAATTGTCCACGTATTTTGAATAAGGACTCAATTAAAAGTAATCAAGGAGTTTGAGCTATGAGAAAATTTCTCGAGGAGTGACAATAAGCTGGTTAACGGGTTAATTTTAGCGGGATGAAGGCTGAAATGATATGGTTTTTTTTGAGGGAATGACGGGAATAAGAAAAACAGTTGAACTTTACCGATAACCTTGTCTCCCAAAATTTCAACAAAGAAGGGACGGGAGGATCTAGGTCTTTTTTTGAGGAGAGATGGACGCGGATTTCAAATTAAATTTCAAAATATTTCCAGCCTATTTTTTATCGTCCAAATCCATTTTGCGAGCTGTCCTCAAACGCTAAAAAGGATATTTTTAGGCAAAATTTTCTGCACAACAAGAATACTTTTCTAAATAGAACAAATCGCCGTTTTAGAAACTTTCATAAAAATTTGTGAAAAAACCCGAGGTTCTGTAACTCAAAGTTAGTATTTATTGTTGTCTATTTCGTCTTTAGAAAAGTTGCTGGGTTTGTTGGGTGAAACATTGATATGGAAAACGTACGAGAATCTTAAAAGAAAACGAGGTGTCTGCCTCTCTCTCTCTCTCTCTCTCTCTCTCTCTCTCTCTTTCTCTCCTAAAGCTGCTTACAAATGGTAAGAGCTTACAACATTTATATTATACCGTCAGATACTGTCAGCTTGTTTTGAACCCGGGTTGACCTCCATAGACCAAAAAAAATACTAATCATACAGTTCCATAAACTAAGTCTATGAAAAAATACTAATCATACATGTTTCATACGTTTTGCTAAAATGGTGTCGTCGAATTTTCGAAAAACTTTTCTCTTGTTTTGGCATAAAATTCGGCGTTGTATCGTACCAAATAAAAAAGAAAAACTTATTGTCAAAAAAAATGCTAATCATACATTTTCCATATATGGAAAATGTAACTAGCATTTTTTTGATGGCGACGACAGTAATTTTTCAAAGTATTTTTGAAATTGCCCCCAAAATTTTTTGTGTGTATAACGTAGTCCTGAAAATACTAATATCAGATTTTTTTCTTTTTCTCTTCAAAACTTTTTTCAAAAACGCTTAAAACCCTTTTTTTTGAATGACATGTTTGATAAATTAAAAATTCAAATTTTAGAAATAATGATCTTTGAAAATTTTTGCCAAAATTTAAAAGTTTTTTTTTTTCGTTATATTATTTGTGTGAGACAAAATTAACACATTTCCAATGTATTTTTAATGCGAGATGGCCAAACCTTTGGTTACTCTGTTTGAGTAACCAAGGTTTATGTCATTTGTGTTCAGTTACGAACACAACGAAAAAAAATTTTGAGAAATTAAAATGAAAAAAAAATCAATATTTTCGTTTAAGGAAAAATGCTAGTCATTTAATTTCCATATATGAAAAAATACTAGTCATAGACCTTTCATGTCATTTTCTGTAATTATGGAATTGCATGAAAAATGTATGACTAGCATTTTCTATATATGAAAATTGTATGTCTAGCATTTTTGGTCAACCCGGGAAAGCATTCTAAAACTGTGGGAAACAATATACACTATCAAAATCAACTTGATTGTCAGCTGACTACGCCCGTCAATTCAAAAGAAAACAGGACGAACGTTGAATAGTATTCGAATCTTTGGCAATGAAGTATATTATCTAGGGGCTATTCTCATGCGCGAAGGACCGAATGCGCGAAAAAAACTCGTGTGCGAAGGACCAAAAACCAAATTAGACGAAGGTCAATTTTTAAAAAGAAGTAATTGCCATTCAATTAAAATGAATTAAATAAAGCAAATTTTGGATCTTGTTAACTATTTCCCCACCTTTTGGACCTTGTTAACTATTTCCCCCCTATGCATGCAAAATTTTTGACACTCATTTCTGTATAAAATATTCATTTCAAAAATGTCAACAATAAAGTGGGTTTTAGTTTTTGCGCGTTCCTATTGGTGTTACTCACTATTTTTACAATAACCTCGTAAAAAATTTAATATATATATTTTTTCTGAAAATTGTTTTGAGCTATTGAAAATGTAGCCGCCAAAGTTGAATTTCTGAAAATCGAAATAGGGGGGGGGGGGGGGGGGGGGTTGGGAAATAGTTAACAAGATCCCAAAATTTTCCTTCTTTCATAACGAAACCCTTGAAATATAAAATGTGTTCCAATTCGGCGGCGGTCAGTGACAATTTCAAAATTTTGCATATTTCTGCCGTTTTTATAATCGGCCAATATCAATATTCAGTCCCTGGAAATGTTTACTTTCTTTCCAAATTTTAGATTACTGAAATCTGATTGGCTGATTTTTATTTTCGCGCATTCGGTCTTTCGCGTAGTTTCTATACACTGCAACAAAACTGCATATCAGTGCGAAACCCTGAAAAATTCGATTGCCCTGTGACGTCGATGAAAAACTTGCGATTAAAAAACTTTTTAAAAAAGCGTCATTACGAGGCCAAACTGTGCACTGCATAGGCGCACAACACAATTTTGTGTCTGTATGTTCCTGGATTCCATAGACAAAACTGAAAAATATGTTCCAAAATGTAAGTGGATTCCACAAACAAAATTTCAGTGGATTCCGCATACACATACCTGTAACGTAAATTTAGTCGGCACATTTGTTTTGATGCGGATTCCGCAACAAGCAAATATAGCTGTAACGTACTTGCCTCAGTTTAGTTTTCCTATTTGCATCAATTTTTGCCTCAATTCTTGCTTCAGCAAATTGCTTGACTCAATTCAGTTTAGAATGATTAGCTTGACGCTCACCTTCATAAGCACGTAGTGTGTCGAATTTTAGTTGTGTTGCTTTTCCGACTCTCGAAGAAAAGGCATATTTTTGCTTGGTTTGGTATTTTTTATTTAGTCAACTTTCGGTAATCGAGAAAATAGTTTTTAACAAATTTTTTTATACCTTCTCAAGATATCGACTCCCTAAAATCAAGTTTAAGCGCAATTTATGCGCAATTTGAAGATTTTATTCATAATGTTGAAAGCGCAACACAAATTATATATGCGTGACGAACTATCCCGCACAACAAAATTGTTCGAAATTGAATTGAGGCTAGCTAATCGGTCGTATTAATTTCTGAAGATTAAGTTTAGGTTTTAACTGAAGATACAAACAGTTGTGGAAATGCAATTTGAAAATTTTAGAAGGCAGTACTGTTTTAAATATCATCAAATTAGCTAATAGTTTTTGAGCAATGCTATAGCTTCTTTTAAAATTGTTTTGCAATGAAGTCAGCGAACAAATGAAATAGTTCTGCGAATTTATGGCTCAAGTAGTTTATTGCCGCTTTTATCTAGCGTGAGAAAAATTGAATGGTTATGGTTTGCTTTCAAAAAAAATCCTCTCAATTTTTTGAGACCGCCACCTATCCAGCTATTAAATTTATTTCCCTGAAATTAGTTGTTTCAAAGATCACATACAATATTTTTAATTTTTTGTGAGTGATTTAAAAAATCGATTACCATTCATTTGGCCAAATTATTGAAAAATAAAACACAAAAACAGACTTCTTCAATTCCGTGATAAAAATTCGACAAAAATAAGTGTTGTTTGTAACAATACAGTTAAATGGAGCACTGAATCTTGAAGGTGTTCCGATGGCTAACATGTAACAGCAAGCTGGAGATCTGTGATCTGTAGAACTCAAAAACCAGGCCAATATCATCCACAATTTTCTTTATTTAATCCACCCGAATAAACTTGTGAATACAAAATTATTTTCAGCAAACATTAGCAATTTTTCTGTTTTTTTTCTTTCAAAAAATACAATTAGCCGGTAGCGAATAAATTTACTTACAACTTTCAAAGTAATTTGCAGATGTTTTAAGAACCATTGTTTGGTTTTGATATGCTGGGTTTAAGAAGGCCATCTATCCAGCTATTAAATAGTATTTTATTTTTCTTACTGATGGTTTTCATTATCAAGCGCTATATTTATTAAACCGTTTCTGTTGTTTTCAGGGGTGCCGTTTAGTTTCTGTTGAGTTTGTTTTTGGAAGAACGATAGTGTTTTCGTTCTTCTGTGAAAAAGATGCTAAGAGTGTTTTGGTTTGTGGGAACTGGCTAGCTCTGTCTGTGAATTTTTTGTTTTTCAACCTCAAGCAAGACCGAAGAAATAGTTTTTATGAACACTTAAAGTGATGCATGGACAAAAACAATTTTCAAAAGCGGATCAAAAAATCTAGCAGAGAAGAAAACATTCTTGTTTTTTTTCTGCAGATTTAAAAGTTTGTCGGTGTTTTGTGAACGAATCTTCTTTATAAGCTTATAAGCCTGTTATTCCGATTTGAGCACAAAAGACCAACAAGACTGCTCGTATCAAGGCGAAGCCCTGAATGTTTCGACTGCCTTTTAAGGTTTTTTGAGCAGCAGTAAAAAAAATTCAATGAAATAAAACAAAATAAAAAAAAATTCTAAAATTTGAATTTTTTAAATGAAAATCATCCCCCCACACGCCATATAAAGTAAAAAAAGATAGATTTCGTTCCTTGTAACAAATCAATTATGGCAAATAAGCTTCGTTCAACCAATTTGGAACGATTTATAAGACGGATTAAATCTCCGCTTACGCATTAATAGCGCGAATTATATTGCGCGTTAATTGTCCCAAATTAGTCAAAATGGCCAAAATGGCAGTCTTTAAACCCTCATAACTTTACAAAAAATGATCACAAGTGAAATATCTTTTCAAATTTAGGCTCACGACAACAATACCTTTTGAATGATATCAAAAAATTCCGTCAAAAATGGCTAGTTAAAAAGTCGAAGTTTGTCTGAAGAAAAAAAACCCACACAGAGCACAAATATTCCGTTACTTTCGTATCGAAAGTCGGAACAACAAAATTGCTCAAATCAGGGCAAAGCCCTGAATGTTCTGACTGCCTTTTAAGGTTTTATGGAGCAGTAATATCATTTAAAAAATAAATAAAATAAAATAAAATGA